GTTGCGAAACGGTTCTTTTTAATTAAATAAACCGTTGCGAAACGGTTCTTTTTAATTAAATAAACCGTTGCGAAACGGTTCTTTTTAATTAAATAAACCGTTGCGAAACGGTTCTTTTTAATTAAATAAACTGTTGTGAAACGGTTCTTTTTAATTAAATAAACCGTTGCGAAATGGTTCTTTTTAATTAAATAAACCATTTCACAACGGTTTATATTAAAATATTTTAAAAAACCGTTGCGAAATGGTTCTTTTTAGTTAAATAAACCGTTTCGTAACGGTTTATATTAAAATATTTTAAAAAACTGTTGCGAAATGGTTCTTTTTAATTAAATAAACTGTTTCGCAACAGTTTATATTAGAACAATTAAAAAAACCGTTGTGAAACGGTTATTTTTAATTAAATAAACCGTTTCGCAACAGTTTTTATTAAATTCGTTAAAAAACCATTTCGCAACGGTTTTTTTTTGTTTAAATTGAAATAAAAAATGTTTCGCAACGTTTTTTATTAAATAAATCTTTAAAAAAACGTTGCAAAACATTTTTTTTTAACTTCTGATTCAGATCGGATTCGGATCGGATCGGTTTTATCCGAATTGGATTCAGACCGAATCGAATCAAGCTTATTTCGGATTCGGATCGGATCGGATCCAATTATTTTTGATCCGAATTCAGATCGGATCAAATCCAACTTTTTTTGATCCGAATTCGGATCAGATTGGATTCATCTCAAATCCGATCTGATTCGATCCGTTCGGAACACTACAAATCATACAAGTATAGACGATGAAAAAAAACTAATGTCCGATGGTTATATAATTATGTTAAATGACATACTTTATTGAAAGATAAATATGTTCTAGGCGGAGCCTACGTAGTAGATTAAGAAATGTTTTTTTTTGTTTTTAGTACTTTATGAAATGCTAGAATCATTGACATGAAATTTTTCTCCGCTCCATAAAGAAAAATATCTACAGTATAGTCTCTTATTTAGTTCACTCAGCATCATCTACTAATAACTCGTTTCTTGAACTGAGGGTCAAGTGTTTCTATTCAGTATTCTCCCAATCAAATATCTGAATTATTCCAAAACACATTAGGTATTTTCTTCGTTAAAGATGCATGCTCGCCATATAATAGAATAACAAATTCCGAAATATATTTAGTCGTTTTAAAGAATTTTTATAACATGGAGTGTTTATAGTAAAATTGTAGTCCGCTTTTAAAGAAAAAAATACAGACTAAATTATTAAGCAAAATGGTAGAAACATTCTCGGGAAATGCTTAGAAAGCACTATTCTCAATTACTATCCAAAACAAAAATCTATAGTTTCCACATAGTTTATCTATACTATTTATCACATGATATTCCACAGAGGCAAATATATACTACCTTTATGAGTTATGACTTATACCACCAGTGGGAATGGTCAACTAGTGCACAGAACATTTTTAGAAAACGAAGCAGAAAAATTGAAATATTTAATTGCTACGCTACACTGATGATATTAAATTACTTAATTAATTAGGATAGGTGTTGTAGATTGTTCTAATGATTATGGCTACCGAATTAAGTAATTGAATAAACTTATTTTTCACGTGACTATTTTTTTGTTCCTTATCAAATGTTTTATCTAACTTCACTATATAACCTGTATAGCATGTAAATGCTGAGATATTAATGACAAAAACCGAATAATAATAGTTTTGTAATATGTAGTACATAATATTCACTGTCTTCAAGAAAGAACAAGCGAGGAAGAATGGTTGAAAATAGTAACCCACCAGAAGTAAGCACAGATACAAACAGCAATAGACTTCGAGCGGTACAACATTTTACTATCATAACATCAAACGCAAATGAACATTCTTTTGAACTGAAAGCAGTAAATGAAAAACACCAGATACGCAAAACTTACTTTAATTATTTCCACATACAGCTCATGTGTTTGCGGAGCTCCGATATCATGTTCTTCATAAACTGTCGTCAAGGGTTTTTTAACGTACAGTAATTGTATTAAATTCTAGTCTGTTAGTCTTCCATATGAGAATTGACCTAAGTTATAATATTTAGTTTTCTGTTATTATTGGTATAACTGCTTACTTGATATTTGTCCACTACAAACGACTGTATGATAAACTACTGCAAAAAATTCTTCATTATTTTGGGAGTACGCTTACCCTCGAAGAGGTGAATAAAGTGGGTTATACTGAAGAAATTATGAAGGAATACAAAAAGAAAACAGAGATGAGCGAAATTCTCATCAAGCTTATTATGCAATTTATTTTTACGAAATTGAAGAAATTATGTTAATTGCGCTTTATTTCTAGTAATTGTCTAACTATAGTTTTAAGTAGATACAAAAAATATATATACTGTATATTTGATACAAAAAAAAATATACAAATTCATTCAGTTATATGATATAGACAACATAAGTAAAAAACATTTATTTTTCTTCAAATATCCATCCCAATTGATTAGTACCAGCAATAATAAATCCATTATTTCCAATATTTGCAAACTGATTGCTATGTTGAACAAGTTGAATGGCATGCTCGCTAGCTTTAGAAGGAACAAATATCCATTCCTGATTTAGCTGAGAAATATTTCCTTCAAGAGTAAGAAGGTTTCCATTACCCTTGTATGTGACATAGAGGTCAGGATTATTACTGGGACTAATAGTAAAGCCACCAGGAGCAGTAGTTAATATCCACTTTGCACCTGCGACTTGTAGACCAATATGATTAGTTTTATCTGCTGCCCAATATAGTTTGGATTTAGGGTCTCGAATAGTATAAGTCTTCTGTTGCTGAGACGACCCAACAGCAAGAAGGGTGGCTAAAAGGAGCAAAAAAAGGTTGAATTTCATTTTGATTTTGTTTTGCAGAGTTGTTTTCAAACAGTGCAGAGTCAAGAAGTATTTATACATATAAAATAAGTACAAAAGCGATGCTAGAAAAACAATTCCCTTGGATTATAGATGCTTTACGAAAATGAAAAAACATCATAAATAGCTTAGCGAGAGAAAGGAAAAATGAAGATGACCTAGTAGCAATATCAAAGTTATGCCACTATGAAGATAAAGAATTCGTGGCCATGTATATATGACATGTGTTGAGGGCAGCCATGGGAATTGTTCTTTCAATGACGCTTCTTTTTAGTATTTTCATATGCTTGCATTTGATCTAACTTGGAAATTATTCTAGAGGTCACATGTAAACTCCGAAGATTCATACAAATGTCCTCAGTTAACGAATACCAGCACTGGTATTTTCGATAAAAGTTCCATCTATCCTGCAGTTAACCAATAAATTTCCGTTATTGATGTGAGATATATCACTCACAATTCTTGATTATTGAATGCGTAATGAAAGCTAATCAATAATTTGTGTACAGCAATCGCTTGATATCAATCAACAAAAAAGAAATACCATGGTTATTTTATTTCTTTACCTGGAGAAGGATTATCCTGGATTGCTGATTTTTATCTCAATTGGTACTAATGTGATAAACATAACAAGTACTTCGTGCTCAGAATTGGATTTCTGTCCGCTTTACTTGCTGGAGGATTGATTAAGATGGGTAACAAGTGTATAGAGTTTATGAATAAAAAAAGAAAACCATAATTTACAGGTTGCTTATCATTAGATCACAAGAAAACATACAAGAAAACATACAAGAAATCTAATCACAGCTTTGAATTTATAACGTCAAGAACACTGTTTTGATAATTTTTAACCTGTATTGATAAAACTTTTTATGATACTATGAATGATATTTGCAAAAAAAAATAAAACTCTATCACTATACGTAAATCAGAGATTATAATCATCCAGATGGTTTCTTACTAATAATTCAAATGATACCCATCAGGAACGTCACGTGCACACACATAAATACGTGTTGATCCTACTTTAATGCGCTAACACGTGATCATTTTACAATTGTTACAATTGACTCCTGATGTGTCCGTAGGGGTAACCAATTCAAATATGTAAAATTCATTCATTATCAATCTGTGCATTAAATTCGCGTTTATGCATTAAACTTGCGTTTATTAATTTGTGATTTGAAGTAAAAATTAATTCGTAATTTACTGCTTTGCTTTTTTTCATTATATTATATATTATTGTTATTTCTTGATCATTGATCCGCTGGGACCCCGGAGAGCAGGGGAGGACATGATGCAGTACGTTTGCCTAAGGTTACTTTTTATGTTGTTCATTTACCTCTGCCTCATTTACCTCTGCCAGAGCTTTTGGCTTTTTATTAGATGAATTTTGACCATTATCAAAATTTCTCTTTCCTGGATTCTTTAACTCCTTGAACATTTCAATATGTTTTTCTTCAAAAATACGATTACAATTACTTGCGTCAATAATTGCAACCCATTCTTCTTCCTCAACTTCCATTTCCTTAGCTTCAATTTCCTCCTTTAGTGTTACTTCAGCAGGATAACTGATGAAAATCCTAAAAATACCATCATAATTCTTTTTGATCAGTTTTGTTACCTTGTCATAAGATATTTCATAAACTTTCCCTTTCAACTAGTTATAGGATTCGAAAAAAAAATTATTAATATTATAAGTTATTGTAAATCAAAGCACATAAACAAAATTTTAAAAGGATAGTACCAATTTAGCTTCAACTCCCTTCTTCTCCGATCTTGTATGGTAAAACTTTTTTGGATCGGTAGTTAATAGAACATCGCCTTTATTTTTTAATCGAAACTTAGCTTGAATTAAGACAAGATATCTAAAATTATATACAATATTTCATTAATATATATTATCTGTATAAATGACATAAATGACAACATACTTTTTGTCTGAGTCCACTGGACACATTACTGTTACTACATCTGGTCCTGCAACATTTTCTGGATAAAAGAAAGGAGAAACGGGGTTTTCCAAAAAATTTGGTAGAGTATAATCAGAAGTACTACGCGTTGCTAGAACAGAGAGTGAGCCATTAGGTGGTTCATAAATCTTCCAATCATTGTATGGAAGCGGGTTTTTAAATATATCACGAACACCTTCATCTTGGAAAAGCTTAATAATTGCATTAGGAATAAGAAGCTCCCACAATATCCCCATACTAGATGGAGAGAAATCTATATCAGACATCCGTCTCAAAATATGCAAAGAAAAGTCGGTATATTTTAAGAAATATCGCAATGCAGACTCTATTACAAGGGGTTCACTGATAATAATCTGCAATTTACTATCTTTTTCTCTATGCAATAGAGCGACTCCATATTCAAATAATTCCAAGGCAGATTCTTTTTCAACGATAATTGAATTAAGGCCATCGAACCAATTCTTTATCACTGCTCGTTCCAATAATGATAAAATATCTACTTCACTTTCACCTTCCTTTAAATTATTCCTTATTCCTTGTCGTATAGTATCATTGTTTGTCCGATTGACAATTTTAACCATAATGCTTTTATTACTGTCCGGGTCTGTGTAATATCCTTTGAACTTCGCAAACAATTCATCTATACCATAATTGTTATTTAACCATTCTTCAACAAAGGTTGTTGCAAACCTAACTCGTCCTACAAACCACCGCATAATATCTTGGTGATCATCAAATGGAAACCCAAATTTTGATAGGAAATTTCTGAGCATTTTAGTTAAACCGAACTCATTCTTTATAACAATCAAATCTTCATTATTCCAAGTTGCTCCCTTCATGGCATGCGAACCAGTAATATCTAGTACCGACTTCATAGTTAAACCAGTTCCTGAAGGAATAACGCATATGCCCGAAATTGTAAAAGCTCTAATAACTAGTGAATACAATGGTCGACTTTTATCCTTGTCGGTAGTGGAGGTGAACTTATTTTGAAATCGATCAATGAGTTCTTGGGCCTCGTCCAAAATTACTGGTAGCCTTTTCTAAAAAATTAACAGTACATAATATAAAGTAAACAGATTGAAATGAAAACAAAGCAGATGTAAAAATCTTACCTGATTTACAAGAAGCGATATATTACGAATCAATTTTCGAAGATTATCATCCAAATATTGTTCTGAGATTTTTCTGAATTCCGAGGTTATTTCCTCAAAAATATCATAATCAAAAAAAACAGTTGGACAAAGCTGTAAGATAGCCCAATTGCACGGATTTATTTTTCCGTAATTTTCCAATATATAATTGAGAGTATAAATTCGAGCAAACAATAAACATTTGCTATATCTCGTAGCATAAAGATCATTTTTAGGTAATGATTCTTTTAATCTTGGAAATATATGATCAATCATCATACGAAGATCACCCGAACCCGGATTCTCCTTTACAAGACCTGTAAAATAAATTCCGTACTTCTTGCATAACAATTCAATTAATGTCCTTGTCTTCCCAGAGCCAGAAGTTCCCAAGACTATCATGATCTCTTTTATCTGTGAAAGGTCTTCTAAAACAGTAGTGTCGGTTAGCCCATCATTTCCATTTATTGTAGGAAGATCATTCATGAGGAGTAAAGGTCTTTGCTTGTATTTGGGATTTGAGGGAATTTGGAGATCTCGGATGGCATTATAGTAAGGATGAGCTTTATCTGGCTTAAAAATAGGAAGTTTAAGCTTTTCACAACAGCATCTTTTAAAAAGTTCTCTGAAATCAGAGAGAATCGCATCTACATTTGAAACGACAGTCGATGTATCCGACAAATCAATGCTCCACTCTAGTGAATCTGATGTAGTCAAATATGTGTGAAGGAAGAGGAAGAAGTGAAATCAGTTAGTCAATGTCTCCCAATTTTTTATCTTTAGAACAAGAAATTTGGGTGACACTTACCAGTGGCAGAGATGATGGCGATGATGTGAATGTTAGACGCTTTAAAATTTTTATGATCTAATTCATCTTGAAAATATTCTTCAAACAGTTCTTCAGGTTCCATTTCTCGCCCATTAATATTGATAATGTCTTCTTCGGTATGAACATTTTTTTTGATCTCGCTTTTCTTGACATTAACTTTCCAGAGTTTCACTCCGCGCATGACAGAAACATCAACCTTATTCCTACTACAGATAAAATTCAAGATATTTCCAAACTTGAAAACGGTAAGATTAAATTTATTGTAACCAAGCATGGTATATCTTATGTCTTCTTCCTTGTAAATGTCAATTGTAAAAGTGTCGGAAGAACTCAGAACGTAACAGTTGAACGATATTCCCATTTCGATGATATTGCTAATAAGAGTGAACAAATGTAAGTCAAAAAGAAGTAAGTTGAAGTAAGTTAAAAAAAGTTGAAAGAGTTTTTTGGAGGTATATATACTTGTAAAAACCTCATCATGACTGATAAAATAGACTCGGTGGCTTGTTGTAAGTTTATCAGTAGCGAAAGAAATGAATCGCTTCTCATGAGTAATTATCACGAGTATTGATTAATTACTATTACCTAAATGTATATGGTAACGCAAGTGACATATTATGCAGGTGACAAATAGAGATCAGATCACAAGTCGGCAAGACGGCAAGTCGCTGAGATAAATATAAACAACGCGAACGCGGCGGTCACGTGTCCGGTGACGGTTAGGCATCACACCTTTCCGAGGTGGTGTGGTAAGATCATTCATTTTTCGGTTGTACAATTGACTAAAAAAAAATAAAGCGCAGTAACTCACTCAGTAACTCTAAACCGTTATATTATTTTCTCCAAGCCTGAACTCGTTGAAGTAAATATTTGCGAGAAAATTATTAACAACATTAAAGCCGAACGATATAATACGCAATTAAGGTATGAATATTTCAGCTGTGCAAACTAATGACCATTTTTTATATAGTTTTCTAAGGACCTTACTAATACATTACTAGATCACAGAACGCAAACAACATAAAATTCGGCAGGGTTAATGTTATGAAACGTTATTTACTTTCTGATACTGCATGTTTCGTGTAAGTTAACTGTCGACAATAACTAGACACGATATTGAGTCTCACTCAAAAAGTAGTATCATTATTTTATCAATTTTATAGTGTATTGTATTTTGTCAACAAATTTAAACTAGACTCATGGTTAAAAAAGTATCCTTGATGAGGATAAATGATAATATGAATATAGAAAATCAAATATGCTAATTCATATGTTTCTTTCAACACAGAAAAATGCGTTCTGTCAACATCAATTGTCTAGTTCTGGGAAAGCCATTCAGAAACATAATCTCTATCAAAATTAAAGAAAACGAAACGATTGGCGAACTTAAAAGACGTATTAAAGCTGAAAAAGATTACTTCGACACTATCGGTGCAAGTGACCTCAGATTATGGCGTACAAATACCCGTATAGGAAGCAATAATGCAATTCCTTGTTTTGATCTTTCCGATAGCAACGAAATATTGTCATATTTTGAGATCAAAGACATTTGGAAAGAAGATCCTCCCAAATCCAATCTCCACGTAGTTATTAAAATCGAAGGTTAGTGTTACTTTTGCTTACATTAGTTTTCCATTACAATAAATAACAAAATACTTGCAACCAGTTGTCGCCCTCAACTGCATAATTTCTGGTTACCCTTCTGATACATACTATCCGATTGAAATCTCTGTAGAAAGAAATGTTGGTGAACTCAAGTCTATGATAAAAAAACGATGGAAACCTCTCTTTAGTCATATTGTTTCCAACGAACTAAAACTCATGGCTATAAACATCCCTCCTAATCAGGTTATTACATATGAAGAAGACAAGTGTGTCATGAAGAACTTAGACAAAATTAAGAGCGTTTTCGCTAATTCAATCTACAATTATAACCCTGATCATCTTCACGTAATGATAAGTTCAGATACCTGGAAGGAAGTACATTGTAAAGCCATTTATAAAAAAACTATATATGAGAAGCACGAGAAACAATTCCAATGGAAGATCACCCACGCAACGGTAACATTAGTCAAATTGAAGGACAAGTTACGCAAGTATTTCTCAGAACTTCATAATATTGCAAAACAGTCTATTAATCTTTATAGGACACATGATGGAAACACCCAAGGGGAATTTATTCGAAGTGATTCCATGCTAGAGCGTATCATGTGGGGAAAGTTTTATAGAATCGATGTTAGTATAATCATCGAAGTTCATCACGAATAGCTACATCAAAATACTAGATTGTGTAAACAACTCATATTTTTGTATTTAAAGAACAGTTATATTTACGTACAAAAAATAGAGCCTCGCAATGTTAGAATGATAAATAATTTCCACGAAGTCTTCTACTTTAACATAAGGTACGACTCATCATCTCGGAATATTGTTTTTTTTTAATGAAGGTTAACGTCGTTGCATAGAAAACGTAGATTACACTGCAATAAATTTCGTGTTTATTGCACCCTATCTTATTAGAGACACTTTAGAAGATTATCTGTTATCTATTAGAGTACGCTCAGTGGACAAAGTGGACAATTAATTTTTGACCACAGATATCAATAACATATAAAAAGGATCCTTAGTGTACAAGAAACAATAGCTTTAATTCAGCCAAAATCACGTAAGTACGCCACATGAGTACCTATAAGAGAATCAATCATCTTTTAATTTATTATCGTAACAAAAACTCAATGCATTCATTGCTTTATTCTAGTTAGAAAAAATAGAATGCACTTACAATCAGAAGACATAAACTCAGAAAGTTAATTACATTTGTGGAAATTCTGCTACAAAAATTTTACATACAAGTTCAGTCCCGAATGATATGTGGTCAGAGGCGCAAGCTGAGTAGTTACCCTTATATTCTGATTTTTGCAACCGGTTCCTACGCAAGATATATTTTACATAGAAATTATATAGAAATAGGTTTAATGATGGTTCTGCAAAATATGATTATGTATCGCATCAGACAATTGCATGCAATAAACTGTCACGATTATCATTTATTTATTTTTTGTTGATAATTATTTGGTATACAGTCTGGTATACATGGTCTACGTAGAACAATACATGAATTTTGTCTACATGAGGCATGTGAAGGGAGATAGCCAACTGTGACCCAAGATCATTGTTCGTAGTTGTGAACAGTGATAAACATTTAGCACTAGTGCAACTCACACAAAAACAAATTCAGATAGTTCTGTGATAAAGAATAATGTAATATCGTTTATTAAGTTAATGATGTGTGTCCTTTGAGTAGCCTCTGACTGGTGTAAAGCATCGTTTCGAAGAAGTGAAATACATTTCTTTCTATGATGGTACTGTGTGATTCTTGGGATGGGATAATATATACGATACAGAGTAACTTAAACTATCCTTTTGGAATTCTAAATATTCGACACATGGTTGACAATTTTCCTTCTAACTATTTGTTCCAGTTTTGTATCTCTTATAAAAATGCGATTCAGAGTTATGTAATAATTTTTTTTGCCTGCAATTCACGAATGCTTTATTTATCATTAAAAAATAAACTTGGTTCTATTAAGAATACGAAATAATCAAACCGATATATACCGATGTAGTCAGTCTCTATTTCCCGTTTTCGATTACTAAAATATTTTGTGGCCGAAGCCCCTTTGCATACTCTTTTCCTCTTAATTATTGGGAAATTGTCGGCAATAAACCTATTCCGTGGGAAAACAAATATCCGAAAAAAAAGTAGTTTTCATTGTGGCACAGGTAATCAGTAATCGTTGATCGTTTCCAAAAAGCCGTTACAAATGAATCCCGCAGCACAAAAAATTGCCCAACAACGAGACTGTGACCTTAGGGTCACGGTTGCCTTATTAAAGTAAAACTGAGGTACAAATCTGGTAACGATCACATTGTGGCTTATGACTCATGACTTATTCGTAGAGGATAAAAACTGTTTATTGCATTTTGAATATTGTGTTTGGGTAGACTATTTATTGTACCCATAGGCAGAAACATTTGCGATCAACAGCACTTTAACTGTATATGATTAATAGACAAAAAAGAAAATCAAGTTTCCGATGAAATGAACTACGCTCACTACACTGAAGGAAGATAAAAAGTAGTATTAATGTGTGAATCAGTCTCCTGCGGTTTCAAGTATAGTATATATTACCATTTATTTTTTCGTTTTTGTATGTACGGTATTGTAATTAATGTTATTAATCATAACACGATATTCTTATTAATAGCACAATCGATTTCATATGAAGCGAAACCACCTGAAAATCTACAATGAGGAACAAGAATATATAAAGAGCATTTGATAATTCATTGTTATCCGAAAAAAATGTTGAGAAGAAATTCGTTAACTATGTGTAGCAAGATTGGATTCTTGAAGAAAGAACTTGTATATAGAAACTAGTAGTCACATATTAATTTTTTTGTACACGTTTTTTCATGATTCATTAATACAACATACAACAATAGTGCATAGGCAACAGTTGTTAAGGGCGTAGTTGAGAAGCGAGATGACTATGGTACAATAACGTAAGATACTCTATTATACTGCTACGCTATCATGGATTCCGAGTATATTGCAACATGATTTGCAAATTTTTTACAAGTCACTACACGTGACTGAAGTCACGTGAAATTTCTCCTGCTCGCCACTGTAATTCTCTCAATGAATCAATGAATTGCATGTTCAATGATAATTTTTTTATATGAGATGGTAAGTTCGTTAGCATAGATAAAAAATGAGATAATATCCTTATCGGAATTACTGATTTATCGATGTAAAAAATAGATTACAAGATTGCCAGTATTTTGTTCATCTAAAGCTAAATACTAACACAATATCCATTAACTCTAATCCGATTTTATTTGTCCCAACGTCGATATTCTGGATAGAATAAAATGGTCGTCAGTTATGTTTAGAAGAGTAAGAAATAAATTAACAAAATTGGCATTAGTAAAACTCAGCGAAAGTTTATGATAGTAAAATTGTCAATGAAAGAAGAGAAGATAGGAAGCACGAATTATTGGAGTTATTCACTGAGGAAGCCAGGCAAAAATAGTGATTTAATTATTTAAGCGTTTTGGAAAAAGAGGTTTCTCCATCTAATAAGGGCCTCGCCACCCAATAACAAGCTAACACTTCAAAGAATTTTCTGAGCAAAAAAATAGTACAAGCTCTGAGTCGTTTGCACAGCTACATGGAAAAATATATTTTATTCATACCTTAATCTCGTCCGGACTTCAATAATTTTTTCGTCAACACTTCAAACTACGATAGGCCAGTTTTTTTTTTAAGATGGCCAGAGTAAAGTAAATCATTACATCATTAGAGCGTTACTGCGCTTTATTAATTTATTCAAATACGGCCACTTGTACCGTTATATGACCTAAAAATGAGGAATCTTAACAATGATTTTGTCACATAGTCACGTGCTGACATGTTTACGTTTTTTATTATGTTTCTGAAGGACAGTTTTTTTTACTAGCCTGATCTCTATTTGTCACTTCACCTGTACTACCACGTTTAAAGTACTATTTATATTGTGACAGGGTAGTGTGGTAAGATTTCCCCCTAAAAATTAGTTAAACTTTTTTTAAATAAATACCCTAAGAATTCGTCAGAGAATCAAAATCAAATAATTAGAATGATAAAACCGTTTTTTCACATTGATAAATTACTTTTTTTTTTTGCTATATATCATCAATCAAGAGTTTATAAGAGTCTATTTATTATTAGTCACGATGTATTCAAAAAAGTATATATACACCTTCAAACTTTCTTAAGCTTTCTCAACTTTTCATTTTCTTTTTAAGTATTATTAAATAGAATGAATGTATTTCTCAAACTTTTTTTCATTCTAAACTAACAATTGCTCTTATCACTTTTAAAAAGAAATATCACCAAAATGGTTTTTTCGTTAAACTGTATTATTCTAGACGACACTACTACGTTCCCGATTACTCTTGGCAAGATAATCATCTTAGATAATATACAATATGATATTAGCGAGTTTAGAATTTCAAACCTCAAGCGGTATATCTTTTCTAAGAAAAAAGAAAGTAAACTTAGTGGTATTAGTGATCCTGATGATTTGAACCTTTGGCAGGTTAATGTCAGTAAAGACAAGCTTGAAGGTGTTTATACTACAGAGCACATAACAAATGAACTCAAAGGCAAGAAGATGGACGAGGTGGATTTTATTACTAACTATTTTGATGTTAATCATCGACCTGACAAGAACATTCATATTATCGTAGTCCCTTCCACTTCCACTGGTAAGTGTCTCCCAACGTTTTACCTCTCGAACAAGAAATTTGTGATCTTTTTTTATTAACTAGCTTGTTTCTATATTTTTAGATTACCTATATAAAAGACCAAGGCTTGATTTTAATAACATTCCTTTAGATTTAGGACAGTCTCCTACACAACTTTTACATACTGGCGGATGTTCTTGGGATTATCAAGAATCATCTGAGTTGGAACAAGAATTAAGAAAAGAAGTTCAGGGGCTATATAACGT